TTGGCACACATCTACCAGTACTCCTTTCCATGCGCACCGATGACCCCTCGGGGCACCGTTTCCCTCGGAGCTGGGGCCCAGACCTGCCTCAGTCCAGGACATTAGGCAGCCACATCAAGCTGTCCGAGTGGCTCAAGGTGAAACTTGTTTTCTATCCTTAGAACAAACCAGAAAATCAAACTGACTTACTATCTGATGCAATCACCCACATAACTACTAGACTCTTTTTATTTGTGCTAACTGCTTGAAAAATCAGAACTAGACTATTTTATTTTTTAATGAGGTTGATTCCCCCCAAATACAAAAATATTGCAGCATTAGGGAAAATTTGAAAAGTGAAGTTTGCTACAAAGAAAATTATGCAGAATATTTTAACCACGGGTCATATCTTGATTTGTTTCCTTTCGTCATTTTTATGCAAATATGTGTACTTATATATTCATTTATTTAGTAGAATTTTTTTGAACTCCTGGTAAATGCCAGAACTGTTCTAGGTACTGGGAATACAGTGGTGAGCAAGTCTGACAAATTTCTTCTTCTCCTAGAGTTTACATTCTGGTGGATACACACACACCCCCCCATACACATCCACCCCTGCCCCACAAACAATAAAATATATTTGCATCCTGGCCTTTCTCCTAATATTCCACCATGAAGATGTGCCTGTGCTGTCTTATATTCTCTGAAAGTTCCATTTTTAATTCCATATAATGCATCCTGTGACTATATCATGAATTATTTAACCATTGTCCCATTGTTGAATATTGTTGCTTCTACTGTTTGAATATAAATGCTATTTTAAGTGCTCCAAAGGTGCCACACATCTGTCTCAGATATTTAAATGAACCCTTTCAGTCAAGGAAGCACATCACCACCCAGGATTCCTCCGACTCTGCTGCTCTTGAATTCCTTAGGCCACCTGGCCCTGTCTGCTTCTCTTTCCTCTCCCCCCTCCATTTTCCCCTCATCCACCAACCCCAGACACACTGGTCCTCTACTGTCCCTCTAGATGTTCCGCGCTTGTTCCCCCTCTTCCTCCTTGGCGCTATCCATTGCTGTTGCCCAGAAATTCACTCCCTCTGCCCCAATGTGGTTGGCTCCTTCTTGTCAATCAGATCACTGCATAAACGTCACTTCCTTAGGCTGCTTGTCCCTGAAAACCGCCTCGTCTTAAAAAGCCACCAGTCACTCTCTGTCACATTCCCCATTTTAGGCTTTGCTGCAAAACTCATCAATATTTAATTTCCTCTTGTCGATTTGCTTCATTGTCTGCCCCCCACCTCGAGGATGTTAAGTCCCAGGAAGGCAAGAACCTAAGCTGTCTTGTTTGTTGCTGTATCTCAAATGTGCAGAACAGTGCCTGGCTCAGAGAAGGCTTTCCAGAAGTATATGTTGAATCAGTGAGTGAGGATTCTGTCTTTGATTTTGAAGGGGCATAGCTTTGAAATGGATAGCTGTAAAGACTTGTCTGAATATAGGCCAAGTAAAATTATATGCAGAGTAATCTTTGGCAATAACTGATGCCCAAAAAGTAAGTTTTCCTTACAAAAATCCAATATTTTAATAATAAAACTTTTATTCACACATTACTTTTTAAAGTAAAATTTTCATATCCACATCATTTAGAACTTAGAGAAGGTGAAACAAATACTGTTCTGGTTCCAACTGGAAAAATATTGTATTAAAAATGTCCCAGAGGTTTGATGTTATATTTTGGTTTGGGCTCACTTTGGAGACTAACATCCACGGAGCACCTTCTCCTGGCAGACTCTGTGACGAGGATTCCGGCCCATCTGAGAAACAATCTGTGACTCTGTGGGTTGGAGGAAACTTCAAAGGTGATCTCATCACAGTTCCTCCGTGTAGCCACGGGGAAAATGAGGCCAAGAGAGGTTAAGAGAAGTTCACTGAGGCCCCAGTGCTAATCAGTGACACAGCTTGAAGTAGCTCCAGGTTCTCGTCCTAGTTCAAGGAGCTTTTCACCCCAGCCCAAGCTTGCCACAATCCTCCCATCCTCATGAGTGATGCGTCCCCTCCAGTAGTTTACTTATGTCTTGAAACCCAGAGGAAAACTTAGCCAACAGCAAACACCGCAGGAACTCTACATTTTGATGAAAATTTGACTCCGTAGATGGTGGTACCCAGGGAAGGAGTAAAGTCTGCCTCGCAGGATAGAAACATTACCATGAAAACAGGGCATGTCGTTTTCGGGCACTGGATTGAGTGCAGGAGAGGAGTGGATGGTTCCATACGAACTTCTCGGGTCATTGCATCTGTGAACTGAATATTGCCATTTGACATGGTTTGGAGGAGCCTTTATTACTGTTGTTGGAAGTGACTCCTTGGCTGAGACCCCAGCAAGTCAGAGTATTGCTTTGCTCTTCTGGTGTGTGACTGTCTTGGTAAAATATTTTCAATTTTCATAGCAGTAACCCATTAGCAGTCCTGGGATTTGAGACTCTTTAGTCTTAATTCCTCTTCTTGGAACAATTGTCCTTTTCAGGTTTCTGTTGTTGGTTCTCTTCATTTCTCTTATTTTAAATTAATTAATTCGTTAACTTTTAAGTAGGTAACATTGCAAACACACACAAAAGTAGAAAGAATGGTGTAATAAATCTCATCTATCTAGATCTTACAATTATTGAGTTACTCTTTTCATTTTCTTAGCAAACGTTCCTCTTGAGAAGAGTACACTCTTGAAAGGGCAAGTGGATTGTCTTGTTGGTACAATAGGCCAGGAGGGGCTTGTCGCGCCCCAGCTGGAGAAGACGAGGCCGTAATTAGAAGACAGAGCCAGAGCCCGTGTGCCCCGTGGGGCTGAGCTGTGCATCCTATCATTGCTGCAAGATGCAGTATCCTCAGTGTTTGGAACAGTGGTTCTCAGCAGGTGACTCCAGGACCAGCAGCATCAGCAGCACTGGGAGCTTGTTAAACAAACAAATTTAGGGGGCCCCACCCCAGGTGTGCCGAACCAAGAACTCTGGGGAGGGCCCAGGGATCTGTGTTTTAAGAAGCTGTGCAGGGGATTCCCATGCATACAACAGTGTGAGACCCGCTGTTCTCCAGAGTCCAACTGCCCAGGTCGCATCTTAGCTCCAGCGCTAACAAGCTGTGTGACCTTGGGCGAGTTACTTAACTTCTCTGCACTTCAGTTTCCTTTGCAAAATGAAGATAATGAAAGCACCTACCTAATAGGACTATTGTGCAGATTAAATGAATTCCTTCGTGAAGGTACTTAGAATAGTGGCTCATAAAGCGGCTTATTACTAGTATTAACAGCACCAAACACTATTAGTATTAATAACGACGATGAAGTAATTGTTGAGTACTCACTATTATCATAATCTCTAGTAAATGCAAACTTTCTGCTTGGAGAAAAATGTAATTTTCAGGGAATTCAAAGTGTTTCACTTGGATTAAATATTATATGTTAATGTTAATGCCGTATATCCATTTTAAAATTTTAGAGAATGATATATGTTTGAACAATTTTAAAAGATAAAGTGATTCTCGTTCAGCTCTCCATTCTCCCTTTTTAAAATGAGATTTAGGGTTTGAGTGATTTGTCAACTATCTGAGGATCAGTGAATGAGCAGTGAATGTTCTCGTTCTCTTCTTCCTTCTCCTCGTTCTTCTTTTCTAATTTCTGATGCAAAGCGTCGGTTTTTGGTTATAATTAAATGTGGTCAGAGACCACAGTCTGTCTCTGACCAAGTGATGGGGACGTGAGTTTCATTCCTTTCTTGGTCCCTGAAGAATTGCATTGGTTTCCCTGTTGAATCCCTTCTCTCCGCAGGGCTACTTCCTGGTGAAGGGAAGGTAGTTAGGCGGGGAGGGAAGGGCCTTGGCTGTGGAGCCTGCTGGCAGGCCAGGCGGGGGGGTGGGGTCCTTTGCTCTCAGTACCTGTGTGGATTTCCTTCCTCCACCCTGCAATCTGAATCCTATTATAGCTCACATGGGGCTCCTCAAATATTTCTGATCAGTTTCTGTTCAGCAGAAGATATCTCATTTTGGGCGACAAATACTCCATCTTCCCCTTACTCTGAAATATAACGAGTTTCAAAGGAGAAAGCAAGGAGCTGAGAAGGAGAGTATGAGGATGGCAGAGTGCTTCAACCGTTGCAGTTTTGAGTTAAATGATAACTGCAGTGGATGTTCAGTTGTTTCTGTTAAGCAAAAACACAGGCAGAAAAATTTAGTGTTTTATTTTCTTGCTGTCTGCCCCAACTGAAAGATAGGTGTGAAAACCTTTACTGGGCGAGTGAGAAAGATAGACTACACATTATTATCCAGAAGTTCAGCTTCTCCAATATATTTCTGTTCCACTCTGTCTTGCATGTAGAAGCCAAGTGCAAATGCCTTAAAAAGGAGAAGTCTAATTCTAGGCAAGGCTGCTAATTTGGTTTCCTAGTTATTTTGTTTTAAATTCATGCAGTAAGTAGGCAATGTATGTGAAACACATGTTGTTGCGAAGTGAAATTTACAAGCATCATTGGGCTGTGCTGGAAGATTTTCAGTAACCCAGAAAGATTATTTGGGTGTCTAATGAAGCTTTTGAACACTGTGTGTAGGCAGTTATTACTCAGAGTATTGACTGAGTGGGTGAACATGCTGTATAAATTTGTATAATTGCTTAACTAAGCAAATAGCTTTTTGTCATTTATAGATAATAATTTTATGTAAAAGGTAAACATTTTCCCCATTTGTGGCACTGCCACACCTGTTCCGTTTCTGGGACTTTAGTGATCTTATGTTCTTGCTTTTCCAAGAGATGGAAATATGGGCCCTGTCAAAAGAAGGCACTGGATTCCCATCACGAAATTAACAGACATTGCCTGAAGGTGGAGTCATTATGGTTGGAAACCTGCCCTTGGCATGTAGTATGCCTCTAGTCTTGTGCTTTTGGCCTCTGTATCTTCATTTCTCAGTGAGACACTAATTTTTCGTCTGTTGTGGATTCCTCTGTGAACACTCTTCCCTTTGTTTTTGTCCCCGGTGAGGCTCAAAACGCCCAGCAGCTCCATGAACGGATCCAGTCGGCGAGTATGGACGCCAAGCTGGAAGCCCTGAAGGACTTGGCCAGCCTCTCCCGGGATGTCACGTTTGCCCAGGAGTTTATAAACCTGGATGGCATCTGTCTCCTCACGCAGATGGTCGAAAGCGGCACTGAGTAAGCATCTTTTATCCAGACTTCCAATCTGTCCTATTCTTTCCGGCATTCTGAGTATTTGTTACTTTCCTTATACTTGTGATTTCTAGTTTTACAGGACAGAAATTGACTGCCTCAGGAAAAAATGGCTTCTTAAGATAGTGCCTGGGGAGTGGGTTTGTAATTTAAGTATCACTACACCTTCTACCCACCAGCTAGCTAGTATCTGAGACAAGGTAGAATTCCATAAAATATCTGAAATTTCAGATTTACAAGGAAAAATATTAGGTCATTATCTCCAATGACCTTTCCAAACACTAAAATTATAATTCTACAAAATATAAATGCCTCACATCCATTGCCTATCCCCAAGAAAAATTTCCCTTCCCTGACTCCATTAAAAAGAATTAGAATACCTCCTTACGTTTCCAAGTCTGAAACCAGGTCAAAATAACATCCCTGAAGTAATTTGTTAACAATTAACTTTTGAATGATGAAATATATGTCTTTAATTATTTAAAATTAAATCCAGTAAACATTTATTAAGTACCTACCGTGTACAAAAGAGTAGAAGTTGGGAAAATTTATAAAGATGTGAGCCTTGCCATCCAACAATTTATAGAGGCAGAATTCAGTTGAGATATAATTCCTCCTGAGGGCTAGGAGTCTAGAGGTTGGACCAGTTACATCTCACAGAACCTTACAGAGGGGGCGTCAGTGAATGGCCTTGAAGGAGTTTGAGTTCCATCATGAGCAAGGAAGGGATGGGCGTTTCTGACTGGGGAGCTCACCTTCTAGGGAAGCCTTTGATTCTCTGGAGTGTATGGAGCCAGATAGTTCTAGCTCTTACACGTGTAGACAGGTAACTCCTCTGACCGCTGAATGCCAGGGTAGGTCCACAGAGAACTGCTTACTCCCATATGGTCAGGCGCTACTGGCATAGACTATTAGAGCATGTAAGTTAGAGCGTATGAAAATGCTGAGTCAGTTAATTACGTATTCATAGGCTAAATTAATAATGTGCAGAATTGGGATAGATGTTTATTAGGAAAGAGTAAAGATCATTGAGAATTGGGTCATTTAAATCTCTCTCCAGTACCTGGTGATTCAAAGAGTGAACTGATGACTCTCCATATTGAAGACCTGTCTCAGCCCACTCTCTTCTTTCCTTCCTTTCTTCCTTCCTATCTCTTCCTACACTTGGCATCATTTAGCCTCTTCACTTGGCACTAGTGAAAGATTCCTTTTTCTTTCTCATTCAAAGAGAAGATGTTTTATAACAGCAGGAATATCTCCCATACAAGAATGTTCTCTAGAGGTTGGAGTTGGGGGTCTTACCTCACAGACAAGTAGAGAAAATATCTAAGAGTGAACAGGGGGGAAAAAAAATCAAATCCAAGAGGACTGGACAGCAGGCTTGGAAGATCTGAAAAAGATCAAATGCAGACAAGTATCATTTATTTTTTTAATGATGACTAAAACTCTGCTCATTAAATTTATGGCGTACATCAACTTGTGGCGTTAGAATGGGAGTGGAGCAGGAACATTCAAATTCTGGGTGTTAGCAGAATCCAGAGTGCTTACTCTAAATTGGAGTTGGAGCTTGAAACAGCTAGAGGGAAGTTGAATAAGAATAGGTTTAGAGATCCAAGAGGCTTGACCCAAGAAAAGGAGAAACGGGGTTCTCTCTGCGTCAAAGCCCCAGGCTGAAATCTAGTGTGGTGTGTCAGGTCTCGCGTTCCTTGTTACTGGTGAGCACTGGAGTGTGATTGTAATTACAAACCCCGTCACGCGTAACTGGGGACGACGTCATGTGGTTGCCAGACATGGTAGGCCCTGCTCCATGCCCACCACAGCTTCTGGCGGGACAGTGAGCCCTGGGGGCGGTTCTGCCTAGGTCACATTTACAAGATGTTAAATAAAAATGTAAAAATGTCCCATGTTTATTGATTTATCTAAGTCCCAGCTATTGGTGTATCAAAGGCGATGTACTAGAGCCAGTCATAATGTAACCTGCTAATATTAAGCGGTTCTGCCTCAGATACCCAGGTATCCTGGGGCTTAAGCTCTCGAATATTCAGAATGATAATTTGTTAATACTTCCAAATTTGCTGGAATATTCCAATTACGATCATAAATACATTGAAAGCAGGGGTCCATGTGACATGTATCCTGAATAGAGGGCTGGGGCAGAGCTCCAGTACCTCCAGAGTCTGGCAGTTATATATTTGGACAATGGGGAAAAATGTATACTAGGGGCTTTAGTTTTTTAGTTTCTCATTATATTTATCTGCTAGCCCTGCTGTAACAAAGTACCACAGACCGGATGGCTTAAACAACAGACATTTATTTTCTCACAGTTCTGGAGGCTAGAAGTCCAAGACCAAGGTGTCAGCAGGGTTGGTTGCTTCGGAGGTCTCTCTCCTGGATTTGCAGATGGCTGCCTTCTTACTGTGACCTCACCTGGTCTTTCTTCTGGGTGCACTCTTCCTTAGTGTCTCTTTGTGTGTCCAAATTTCCTCTTCTTATAAGGACCAGTCAAATTGGATTAGAGCCCACCCACATGGCCTCATTTTACCTTAATCACCTCTTTAAAGGCTCTATCTCCAAATACTGTCCCAATCTGAGGTGCTAGGTCAGGGATTCAACATATAAATTTGGGGGGACATAATTCAACCCAAAGCACTCATCAAATACCACTTTTTATTGAAAAGAAAAAGAGTAAAAACTGATACTATGTATGTATCTTGTCAACATTATTACTTTTTTTTTGTGCCATTGCCTTATGCTGTAACTCATCCTGACCTATAGAGTGGCCCAGAAGAATCACCATCCCTCAGACTGAGGACTGGGGAGAGGAGATCTGAGTTATCTCTCCATGCTGCAAATGTACAACACGAGAGAATGTCGATACTGAGTGTACGTTATGTGAACCACAGTAATAGAGTTCCTTTCTTTAAAAAGCACATCATACATACAAATTAGTATTTTAACTGTTTATAATCTGTAAGCCACCCCAATTTGTTACAGCCAGCCAGGTTTCAGCAGATAAGTAGAACTCAAGGCCAGATCTCGGGTGAGTTCTGTTTCTCATTTGTCTCTTACACTTTCCTATCACACTCTGTTACTGGGAAGGACTGATGTCTCTCCTGATCAGCTTTGATGCCCTTCTCATCATTAACATAAGTTCAAAGTCAGGCTCCTTTTGGAGATGGAGGAAGGAGGCACTGGGCTGCATAGCCTCCTGCCTGCCCTCTGCTGGGTCCTGCAACTCATCCTGAGAAGCTGCTCATTTGATGCACAGCTATTTGTCAGATCTTTTGCTCATTTCCTTATAAGGAAACCTGGCTTCTCAATTAAAATTATAGCAAGACTTTAATTAATTAACAGGAACCTTTGGAATGGAAACCACACAAATTAAATAGATCCTGCAATTTGGAAGGCATTTAGTCGTGACTCCGGGGCAGACATCCAGCTGGGGAAGGCAGAGGTTTCCTAAGCAGGACCTGTGGAAGATTTTAGGAAACACTGAAGAAATGTAGCTGGAATTTTGGTTCTTACTTTGAGCTCTAGTGAGATTCAAAGGTTACTCGCCTGCTTGTCATTACCCGAGGCTGAGCTTTTGAAGGTCTCTCTCCAGCTGGTACCAGGAGGGGCCATGGGGCAAAACTGGCAACAAAAGGAGCAATGGGGATGTGGCAGTTTGGCAGAGCACAGAATTTAAAACCTGAATTTAATTTCTCCATCCTTGTGGAATTTCAAAATTCCATTCCTAGTTTAGCTTGAAACAGAGGTGTAGAAGCAAAGTTGTGAGGAAACGTGTTACCCCAACCTGAGCAGAGAAATGGTGTCAGGTGAGGAACATTAAGGAATGCACAGTGGTTTTTTTTGTTTTAATGATGGGTATTAAAAGATTTCTCAGAAATGATTTATTTTATTTGAAAGAAAAATATCACACCTGTAACTCTAAATCCAATGTAGTGAATAACACTGTTTTTCTTCGGGTTTTAATAAAACACCGTGTTCTTTGTCTATGCCTCTACGCACCCAGACAGTTGGACAGTTTACTCTGTATCCTTCCACTGTTAAACAGTGAGAAGAACAGGGCAAACGTTTCCAAGAATGAAAGGGCAGGAGCCTTACAGTTTCCTTCCCATTTGGCAATGAGACAGGAAAATCACGCTGTTGGAATATGAGTAAGCTGTGGCACCACCCTGGGCAGAAAAGTGAAGAGTGAAAAAAGTTAAATTCGTGTATTTACCAAAAACTCAGACAGTTTTTCTGAATTAGCTTTCTCTTCCTAATAAAAAAATTATATTTATTGTTCAAAAAATAAATGTAAATAAGCAGAAGGAGGAAAATAAGAATCATTTGTAATCTGCCTTTCCAGAGACAAACATTTTTAATGTTGTGTATATCTTTTTGTATATTCTTTTAGATACACACACATATGCACAGGCTTTACAGAAGTAGAATTATAATGTTGATGTTTTGTAGGCTGATTTTTGTACCAAACAATATTTCCATGTAATTAAATATTATTCCCCTGATCGTTTTTGTTGTCTGCATATTATTTCACTTTTAAAGCTTTGTTGAGGTACAACTGATACACAACATAACGTAATAATTTGAAGCATGTGCACAGTATAGCTAACCATTCCCCTGCTGTTGGACCTTTACATTGTTTTCCGGTTTTTAAATGATTGTGAACATTTCTAATCCTCTTTTCTCTTAGCAAAATTTTTCTGAATATTTAAATTATTTTGTTGGAAAAGAATTCCTTATTCAGAGGATATACACATTTTCAAGCTGTTTTAAAATAAAACAGCCCCCAGCTTGCTGAAATGTCCTAATGTATACTTTACCATTCCTGTAGGAGTATGTCCGTTTCTAACACCCTGGTTGATACTGGGCTGGTGTTCCATTAGGGATTCTAGCTTTCCTAAGAAAAATAGCAGTGAGGTATTTGAGGAGTTCTCAGTAATCTGGGGAATTTACAAGTACTTTTTATTTGCTTGGTTGAAGTCATTTCTCCAAAATTTGGCTGTATTAAGAACAGTGGAAAGAGTCCCAAAGTTATTTTAGAGATACGTAAAGCCTTTAAGTAATTGTCTTAAAAACAAACAGCATTAATTGTATAAATTATTAGTCCCCTCCGTATTCTGTCATAGATATGACACACATGACGATGTTTGTGTGTATGTATAGTTATGTGTGTTTGTGTTTATAAAAATTGTCGTCATTATTTATTAACACATGAACAGTTTTGTATTAAACTTTCATTATTCAAATCATTTTCCCATGGCTGGAATCAGAGCTGAGCTGGGTCCGTTTCTTAGGAGATGTGAAAATTGAGGTGTGACTAGAATTAAGCATCCTGAATGATGTCTTGGCTTTGATGTTGCCTGGCACTTGCACTTGAGAACGGATTTGTAGGTTTTACTCATTTAGCAAAGTGTATATTATATGAGTGCTGACTATTCCCGAAGCTGGGTTAGGCACATGAGGGGGCAGTGTGTAGGGAAGATACAAAGATGCATGCGACAGTTTTGGACTCTGTGTACCCTTTTTTGAAATTTTGTCTTCACACAAAAGATGAATTCCTTTTTTAAAAGTAACCTTGTTAACCTCCACTGACACGGATTATCAGCACTAACTGGTGCTCTTGCTTCTAAGGATTTGGTGTTTCTTATAAAAGTCTTGGCGCTTCTGGAAGGTCCAGGCCAGGCCAAATTGATCAGCGACTCGCTGCCAAGCTGCAAAGGGCAGGTCTTACTGTGCATGTTCTGCACTTCACCTCGGACAGAGGCCACAGGGAGGAGCAAGCAGCTCCCCAGACAGAGCCAAAAAGAAGCTGCTCTGTGTGGTCTGTGGGCCCCAGCTGTGACGGCTGCCGGGCCTTCCCAGCTCCCTCTGCCTGCTTCCCTGGAGCGTGCGCTCCGCAGAGCTCAGGGAATTCCAACTGGAACAGCCCTTTTGGGGCCCTGCCAGAAATTTGCATCACAAACGCCAAAGGGGCTGACCGTCTTGGGCTTTGTCAGGGGTTGTGGGGCAGAAAATTCCTTAAACCTGATCTCCCCCCTCCCCATCCCTCTGTTTTGTCTCTGTGTCTTTGTCCATCACTCTGGTAGTGGAATTGCGAACGGGTCACACAGCCTGTTTAAAGAAGAGATTATCTTCTGAGAGGGAAGAGAATGCTGTACGTTGGGCTGAGGTGAGAGGCTTCTGGCCACTCTGAAACGTCAGCCTTTCCAGAATCATTTGTTCTTCTGGTCATGTTTCTTTACAAAATGGTTATATAGAAAGACAGAGGGAGAGAGAACCTCGGTTGGGAAAACAGATACCACGACAAAAAGTTCTCCTTCTGCTTATGCTTAATCTGAAGCTAAAGCTAAAGCGAGGAAGTTGAGGATAAGAAACACCGTGACTCAGCACTGAATTTCTCTGCGCTCGCGTCAGGGAGAGCTTTCCAAGGCGGGGCTCTGCTGTAGGAGGTGGAACACACATAAAAGCCTAAAGCTTCTCAGGCCCCAGGCCAGAAAGCTATTTTAAAAATTGCAGTGACTGCCGTATATATTACACACACACACACACACACACACACGCAAACACACACACACACACACACACACACGCCATGTATTTATTTTGAAACAGTTCTGTTAAAAGATAAACTGAGGCATATTAAAAATTTTAAGAGTTTCTTTGAACAAAAATCAATTAGAATGGGTCAGTGCCAAACTGAAAGTGGTTAGGAGTTCTCCACCCACAGGCCCCGAGGGGAGAGACTTTTAAAGAGAAGAGGCCAAAGAAGAGCAAGGAAGGTGACTGGCTATATAGCTTAAAGCTTAATTGGCTATTTGTGATTGGATGTCCTTAGATTTCCATTTTGTCCCCTTGAGGCGTATACCAGCTCAGATTTGGGTTTGCGTACATTGGCCACCACGGCATTAGAGCCACCTTAGTTTACCGGCCTCCTCGTTTAGTTAATTTAACAGTTCCAAACTTAATGGAAAAGTTGCAAGATCCAGTTTCACCAGTGGTCCCAGTCATATCCTTTAATAGGAAGATCTAAGTCAAGGTAGCACCTTGCACCCAGTTGTCCTGTCTTTTCCTAATCTCTTTCCATCTGGAAGCATTCCTTAGTCGTTCCTTTTCTTTCGTGGGTTTGGTGCTTTTTAAGATTATAGGTCAGCCATTTTGTAGAATATTCTCCGATTTGGGCTTGTTTAAAGGTAATTTATTAAAGGTAATTTTCAGGGAAAGATAAAAGAGTACAGATATAAAATTGAAAACATGTTAAAAGAATTTATTGTACTCATGTGACATGAGGGAACCAGGCAGACATTTTAAGCATTTCAAAGGAAAAGTCAAAGGGCACAAATTTATACGGAGCAAAGGAATGTTGAAATGAATTGCAAATGGAAACAAAACTGGCTTTTCACCTGCAGGAAGGAAATCAATTAAATCACTACCAGACAGGACAAAATACATATATCCATCAGTTCCCTACAACTTAAAGACAACAGGGATGGAATCTGAGAACTCAGAAGAGTGTGCTATAGACGCTGCTTAATTTCCCACTGAAACAAATGTTTATCCACAGGTTTATCCGATGTTTTCTCGTTTTAGACCCATATTATATATCTTTGGCTGGAATATCCCAGATGCTTGTGTTTTGTTCACTGAATCCTATTGAAAGCACACGATGTCTCTTTGCCTTATTACTGGTGTTCACTTTGGCCACTTGATTAAGACAGTGCCTTCCAGGTGTGTCCACTGTAACGTTTTGTAATTAATAAATAATTTTGAAGTAGTTACATCATGGAAAATGATACAAATCAGGTTTGTATGTTTTTTCCTAGAGATTTGATTCTTCAACAACACCAGCACACCACTCTTTAAAACAATGTGGACTTATTCATTCCCATTTCATTCACTGGGCTGTAATCTATCACTCTTATTGTTTATTTTGATGCTCAGTTTGTCTCAGATTTGGCTGTGGAAGCTTCTTCAAGCTATCTTGTGTCCTTTGACCTGTCTCCCATTATTTTTTGAGCATTTCTTTACTTTCTGGCTCAACGAGATATTCCAGACTTAGATCTTTCCTTGCCCTAGCCCTGGCAGCAGTCATTTCTCCAAGGAGCCCCAGTTCCTTTTAGTGGGGAGTAGTGTTTGGCCCTTGCAAGAGGGCCCAACCTTTGCTCATGCCTGACTCCCAGTGGCCACCTACTTCATTCACCCCGTCCAATGGCTTTTTGAAGGAGGAAGGAAGGAAGATAATAAATATTTTTTTTTAAAGAAAGGTAGATAAAGGAGCGGAAGAGGAGCAGAAAGAAGATCTCTTTATATACATTTTTAACCCCCCAGTTTTACCAAAGACTAGATCTGATCTTCTCTTGGTCAGTTAGCTTTCTGAAGTGGTTGCATTTTATGTGGTTGAAAATGTGAAACTTCTTCTGAAGAGCCAAATTATTCATCAACCATTTACTGAGTACCAATTTAGCATGTGCCTGACATTGTATTAGTGAGTCACAGTGCCGAGCCCCTGCCTTAACGGAGCTGGAAGGACAGTGAGATGTCCTAAATCATACAGCTGATATATCCTCAGCACATGCAGATATGGGCGCCACCCTCTATCTGGTCCAGGATGGGAAATCAGAGGTGAGGGAGGCTTCCCAGAGGAGCCTAGAATCTGGCGAGTTTGGGGTTGGACTTAACTAGTTGGACAAGGAGGGGAAGGGTATTCAATACAGAGGGAAGAACATACTTAATGCCAGAGAGATTTGACAGACTTGAGGAATGGGAAGTGGTTTGATAAAGTTAGAATTACTTGTTTCCTTATCTTCTTGACCCCAAGCTTTTTAGGAAGCATAATTGTCCTTTCTTGCAGACAAGGTTTGTCTATTGCACACCTTTTTTTTACCAGCTACCGCCACAGAGTTCCATCTATCATCCAAGAGTATTGCAGTGTCTCTTGATGTCTTTTTTCTGAAGAAGAAATCTTTTCTCTCAACAAAAGAGAAAGTGGAATTAGTGGGCTTTTTACCAAAGAAAGATGATCAACTATTTATTCATTGTTAAGCATATACTTAAGAACAATTGGTCTAGTATTTTTTGGCTTCACTTTTTTCATTGAAAACATCCTCATTCTTATCTTTAGAGACTTTTCCCCATTGAACATATACTCCTTCTGAGCCAAATGGGGTGTTCTTGTTGCCTTTACTCGTGAGTAAATGCAATAGGTTGGTTACAGTAGTTGAATCCTTGTCTTTTGATTGTTTCTTAAACAATTTTAAACAATCTTTGTCTTTTGATTGTTTCATTAAACACCAATTTATTGCTTAGAATAATGTTTTGAAATGAATAAAGTTCCCTTACTTCATGGCGGTTAAATCTGCCCTCTATCTAATCCTGAGCTTTCTTCAACATACGTAATTTGTGTAAAAATTATTGCTTTCAAACATGCTCCTCACGTGACTGTTTTTTAAATTTTGCAGACGATACCAGAAATTGCAGAAGATCATGAAGCCTTGGTAAGAATTTATGGTCAATTGATACAGATGATATAATACTTCCTTTTTCTCTACATAATTAAACCCTGTCCTCTGACTGATTGTATAACTGTGCATCTAGATATTTTGAGTCAGTGATTTTTTTTCTTTTTGCTCTCTGATTATTGTTCTTGTAACAAATTCTTTACAAATTTATTTCCCTTTTCTTTTTGCTTTGTGATAGAAAGAGTATTTTATGTTTGTAACCACAAAATGGTCATATCAGGGTCGCTACCCTTCTGCTGGTGCAAGGCTGGGCATAATTTTGTATATTACTTTAAACAAATACTTTCTTTTTTGTGGCCTATGTGATGTTCAAAGTGAAAATCTTTGATCTTCTTCAATGATTCAGTAAGAAAAAGATCTATATTTAAAAAAAAATTCAGGATTGAAATATGGAATGAAAATTATTTACTTTGAGTCTAAGAAAATGCTCAATCACCTATCTGTTAAGTGAATTGCATGATAATTGTGTCAGGAGATCTCAGAACGTCTTTCTTAGAGTTTTCAGTGCCTTTCCCATCCACTAAACAAGGTGAGTCCGAATAGGGTCTAACAAACTCTCTACAATGGGCTGAACAAATTTCCATTTTGCCAAGTTGTTAAGCAGATACTTTCAGTTTGAGAAGGAAGACTGAACAGCGTCTGAAAATGTGCACCTTATTTTTTGAGCCCTCAGAGAAAATCCTGATCACCTTCAGTGTAGGATACTGCCTCAATTCATTCATCTTCCCCTATCCATCCCACATCGAAAAAGTATTAGTTGCAGGAACTCTTTAGTTATTAAATTCTAATAAAGTAGAAAGTAATATTGAGTTTTTAGGGTAACATTTCTTAAATCTTATTTTGATATATATTTTTAATATAGTAGAAGCACTTAATGCTGATGACAGTAGAAGCCATCTTTTATGAGAGTTTCCTCTGTCCTGGGCACTATCTCAATGTTTACATTCACAACTTGTAATTCACACTTATATCCACCACACAAGATCAGTAAAATTAGCATCATTTCCTTGGTGCAGAAGTTAAAATCAGGTGGTAGAGCTGGGATTCAAACCGATTTTTTTTTTAACAACCTCATATAACTTGCTAATGTATAATGTATTTTGGGCTCTGAATCCAAAATGATTTCTTAAAATTTATCTGCCAATAGTTTTAATCTTTTGATATGTAGGGATGTTGGAAGTGTGACTAAATGTGAACCATGATTGCCATTTGTAAATCATAGACAAAATCAGTATTTAGGGCCTTGGTTCTGTTAATGGCAGAGTTAACCAGACTAACACAGATAACAATTATAAAATCTGGACAAAATATTGTAAACAAAAACATCTAAAAACAGCTACTTAAAGGAATTGGATAGCAACCTCAAGCAGACAGAAAGAAGAGGAATGTCAATCCTTGAGAGGACAAATGGGCTTCAGATGACATTTGTGTGCTTCCAGCTTTTTGCCTGAGGATACCTGCCCATCCAGGTAGCATGGAGTGGCAGAAAGCCTCAGTCTTGGTAAGTTACAAAGAGGATATAGTTTGGGGCTGGCAGATCATCTAGATAATTAGGGTGAATCCATGAATGAAGGGAAGCTCAGAGGGTATGAGACCCCATAGCTACATATAAACTCTGCCCAGATCTATCACTGATCACTGAAGTCTGAATGTACGTGTGTGTGTGCACCTCAAGGGACCTGGTAAAAAGAGCAACTGGAAAGGAAAATAATTGAGAAGAGATTTAAACTGCTGTTCATTGCAGAATTTGGAGTTTGTTCCTAGCCAGGTTAACTTCCTGCTAGAACAAAAATCAACACTCTTCAGAAGAACAAAACTGAATTTTGAGCCTTGACAATGTTTCATTCGCAATGTTCAAAATACAATAAAAATTACTAGCCCCATAAAAAATAGGAAAAGATGATCCATACTTAGGAAAAAAAAAAATAAAGCAAGTAGTGAAAACCGACCCTGAAATCACCCAGATGTTGGAATTACCAGGTGAAGATTTTAAAGCAGCATTTATAAATATACTAAGACTAAAGAAAAGTATTAGCATAATGAATGCACAGAGGGGAAGTCTCAGCAGAGAAATGGAAACCATAAAAAATAGCCAATCAGAAATTAAGAATCTGGGCCGGCCCCATGGCTTAGCGGTTAAGTGCACGCGCTCCGCTGCTGGCGGCCCGGGTTCGGATCCCGGGCGCGCGCCGACGCACCGCTTCTCCAGCCATGCTGAGGCCGTGTCCCACATACAGCAACTAGAAGGCTGTGCAACTACGACATACAACTATCTACTGGTGCTA